TTTAATCAGTTTTATATGTCTCAGTAGAGGGCATCCTAATGTACATGACACGGGAGAAGGCATATCTCTCCAATTCTTTCCCAATGGGCATGCCAGTAAAATAGGAATGCGTAAACATTTGAAAGCCAGGGATTGCTAGGACAGGACCTGCTGCAGTTATGGGGCCTTGTGGCCGTTACAGTGCAGCTTCCGATGCTGTTGCAGATGAAAACTGATTTCTTGTGACTCTGATTTTATTAGTTTCTCATTGCTGTTGTAACAGATAACCAAAAACCCAGTGACTTAAATGACACAAACTTATTTATTTAATTTCTAATTTTTTAATTTTTATTTTTCCCCATTTTTTTAAATTGATTATGGTATCACATAATTGTCCTCATCCCCCCAATCCCGTTGTCCATGGCCACTGGCCAGGCCCATATGCATGCACACAAATCCTTTGGTTGATCTCTTCCCCTTTACCCCCACCCTCCCCTACTTTCCCTCTGAGGTTTGAAAGTCTGTTCTGTGCTTCTCTTTCTCTGAGTCTGTTTTTGTTCATCAGTCTATGTTGTTCATCATTTCCTCTAGATGTGTGAGATCAGACACAAACTTATTAATTATAGTTTTGATGGTCAGAAATCCTAAAATCAAAGGGTTGGTAAGGCTTCATTCCTTCTGGAGGCTCTATGAGAAAATTTGTTCCTTGAGGCTGCCCATATTCTTTGGCTTCCATCTTCAAAGCCAGTATTCACATCATTCTGACCTGTGCTTCTTCATCACATCTCTCTGAGATCCTGAGACACTTGTAAGGACCCTGTGGTAACATTGGGCCCACCTACACAATTTAAGAAAATTTCTCCATCTCAAAATCCTTCACTTAATCCCACATGCAAATCCATTTTGTCAACCAAGGTAACACTCCCCATTTATAGGTTTTGGGGTTTAGAATGTGGGCATTTTTTGGGGTTCCATTATTCTTCCAATCGTATACCTATTCTACAACCAATTGTTTGCCTTTACCGCTATTGATATCAGTCTTAGGTAAATTGAAGTCAGCTGGACTGTACCATGTTCAGTGCTATTTTTACTTTTTTGAATCCTTCTCCATATATTTTTGAATGAATAACAACTTTGGTCTGATGAATCTACAGAACAACATGGGTTCTAATCCCCTGAGCCTTCTCGATTCATGCATTCTCTGTACTTGATGCAGAGAACCTACTGGTTTTGAAATCTCTGGGTATTGTGCCAACCAAACATACAAATCAGAGTTAATCCTCTGGATAAAGATCTTGAATCCACAGAATTCCAACTCTATCTCTCCACTAAGCTGTCACAGTTCTGAGAGCTTGCAAGAGTTGTTAATGTACTTGCTCATGGCCAACTCCCATCAAGCATAATATAAAAACACTGCATTATCAAATTTAATGTGTGACTTACTGTCACTATCAGTCAGCACAGAAAAAGGCCTTTTTATGGATATTTCTTAATTTTAAAATATATTTTTATTGACTTCAGAGAGAAAGAGAGAGATAGAAACATTTCTATGATTGGCTGCCTCCTGCACTTTCCCTACTGGGGATGGAGCCTGAAATTGGGCATGTGCCCTTGACTGGAATCAAGCCCGGGACCCTTCAGTGGCAGGCAGGCATTCTATCCACTGAGCCAAACTGGCTAGGGCTCTCTGGATATTTTAAAAGGGAATTGTCTTGCTCTGAAAGTTCTTCATTCTCTTTCTCTCCGCACTTTGATTAGAGAAAGTGGTATGGAAAGTGTGAGGGGGAAAGATGAACAACGAGGAAGGAGGGATGACAGACATCAGGTGGTAACTTGAAAGATATACAATTCCACCCTAAGAACAATAAGATATATTGAAAAATCTGGGTAGTTGAGGGCTAGGGAGAAGTCTAGGGTTATTACTGGGTGTTTTGGCTTGGTACAGAGTGGTGGGAAGCAGAAGAGCAGAGTCTGGAAGTTAGATGCAGGCTACATTGGCATTGCTTATGGGATGTCAACATGGAAGAGCTAGACAGGCAAACTGGCTATGTGGATATTGGGCTCAGGAGAGATTTGAGCTTGCATTATGGATGGTAAATGAGAGCACAACTGAAGATAGTATAGTGTACAGAGTTAAAAGAGACGATGGCATAAGATAGAGAGCTGAGGACAGGCAGAGGAAAAGCCTGCAGGGGAGGCTAAGGAATGGTTGGAGAGATAATTGGTAAACCAGAAAGCGTTGACATATTAAAGAATTTGTACCCATTCCTTGGGTGCTATGTTTGAAAACATGTTTAACTCACAACTCAATGTGACTTGAAAATTGTTTTCTCATACATAAAACGGGGCCAAAGATTCCTTACTTGCATCACAGGGTTATGAGGTCCAAGTGAAAAAATGTATTTGAAAATATTTGTAAAGTGTTACACCAGTGGTACATCAATGTGCGTCAAAATCATTAAGAAGACGTTCAAAGACGCAGATTACTGTTTCCAATTTCATAATAGCAGTAGTTTTAGATTCAGTAGATGTGGGGTGGGGCCTCAGAATCTGAATTTTCCATACTTTCTCAAATGATGCTGATAACGTTGGTCTTGGGACCATCCTTTGAGAACTACTGGGTAAAACAAGGGTAAGGAATGATGATTTTGATTTTATAGCAAGATTCACAGAGTTGTCCTCCAATGTTGTGTCTGTTTCATCCCCTAATCTTTTTTTTTATTCCTGCATCTTCCATCAACAGCTGTTATTGAAACATCTTTGCCCTGCTCCATACGTACCGTGTTTCCCCGAAAATAAGACATCATCCGAAAATAAGACCTACTTACAAGTTTCCTTCTGAGTGAAATATAAGCATCCTCCGAAAATAAGGCTTCCCCTAGGCTAACCATGAGAGATTTGGTCCACTGATTCTGAAAGAAATGGAGTCACAAGAAATTCACCAGGAAATTCAGGAATTGGATTGTTATGATGATGTTCCAGAAGATGTGACATGATTGTCATTGAATAAATGAGTAAATTCTTGATACTGCAGGATTCACAGTTTGTCTGGTTTGTGTTGACAACTACCGTACCGTATACAGGTAATAAATTTCCTTTATTTTCATTTAACAATAAGTGTGTACTGTATTCTTCTTCATGGAAAAATAAGACATTCCCTGAAAATAAGACCTAGCGCATCTTTGGGAGCAAAAATTAATATAAGACACTGTCTTATTTTCGGGGAAACAGGGTAGAACCCAGCAATATATGTTTATGTATCTATAAGGTCAGCTTAGTGCAGTATTTTGTTGATTATTTACATAGCTTGACGAAGGATAGGAGAAATTTTTGGTATTTCTTTTGGGGAGTAGGAGATAAGCAGAAACTTGTTGGACTAAGAGGTGGGCTTTATGCCCCCTTCCCCCCAGTTAATTAGATACAGAATGCTACTTGTTACCTACTTTCAAAAATCCCATTAGAGAACTTGTAATTTGATCCAGAGGGGGAGCAGCAGGAGAGTCAGGTAAGGGGAAAAATTGACCTCATTCTCCAGTCTTTCCTAAATCCTGAGAAATGTGCACCTCCACGCTGCCTGTTTCAATCCCACAAAACACGGGAATCAGGAAAACGCATTAGCACCCTAGTACAGACTAGGAACACAGAGCAGGGAGGCGACTCGGCTTCGTCAAGACAGAAGGAAACTGGGGGAGGGGAGAAAAAACAAAACAAAAAAAAACTTCCCTAGGTGGAAATCTGCAGCCCCGGCCGTGCGAAGAGAAGGGAAGCGGGGAAGTGTGTACATCGGGCGCCAGCCAGACACTTTGCGTCTGGGCATAGGTGGGAAACAGAGGAGAGGAGGGAGAAAGGCTGCCCAGAGCGAGATGCCAAGAGCTTCTGCCAGTGCTTTTGAGGGAAGATAACGGAGAGCGAGAGCTTCCTGCTCCGCTTCTGCCCGCCTGGAGGCCGCTTCTCCAGATGTAACTGCGGTCCAGAGGGAGCTCCGCTGGGCAGGGGCAGCCTGGCCCCCCGCAGACCCCGCTCCGGCGCGCTCCCGGGCAAGGGGGGCGGCCCTCGGGACGCTGAAGTTACTCCGCGGAGGGGGAGGGGTCGTCCAGCTCCCCTCCAATCACTGCAGCCGCTCCAAAATTTGCATATCTTATGCAAATGACCTCCGGTCCTGCTCGGACGGAGGTGAATGCATTAGGATAAGGCAGCGGCCTCGCCCGGTGGAGGCGGCCGGCGGCGGCGGGAGGCTGAGCGGGGAGGAGGCGGGCGCGGGGGCGGGCGCGGGCGCGGGGGCGGGGCGTCGGCGCCGGGCGCGCGCGCACTCACACTCACACTCACACACACGAGCATCCCGAAGGGTATTTAAAGGCTTGCACGCGCGGGGCTGCGGAGATCCTGGGGGCAGGCGCGTCTGGGGCCTCGCCACTCGCTTTTGCTCCTGGGTTTATTCCGTTCCCTTTCCTCTCTTCCCTCTGCCCCGCGGTACCCGTGGAGCGCTGCGCTCCCGCCGCCGCCGCTCTCAGCCCCCTTTTTTTTTTTTTGGCCTGGCACCGCGTCCAGGTGGGACCCGTTAGCGGAGAAACGCCGACTGGGTAGCCGTAAGGCGGACCCACCGAGACGCAACAGGTCTGCGCGGCGGGGCGAGGGGAGCAGCGGCCCCCGCGGCCGTCTCCCACGGTCCCCGGCCCCCGGTGCGCCGCGCGCGGGGACCTCCGAGGGGTCCGTCCTCAGGGGCGCAGGGTGGTCAGCAGGACTCTACGGGGTGGGCTTCTTTCTGGTCTTTGCCTTGTGGCCACCGGTCCGTAGACTGAGGGTGCCCTTCACCCCCAGTTAAGAGAGGAGGAGAAGAAGGCGGAGAGACGGTCCAGGACCGAGGAGTGCGGGGAGGGGTCCATCTCCGCGCGCCCCTCTCCCACTCCGCCAACTAGTTCTGTGCAGCCCGCCGGACGGAACTTTGGAGGAATCGACCTTTTCCCTTCCCTTTTACGGCTATTGGAAGTGGTCGAGGGTGGGAGGCAGCGGATCTCGCCACGATGCTGCCGAAGAAGCCTGCAGGAAAAGGAGGGCCCGGGGAGCCGGGCTCCGAGGACCCGAGCCTCGCCCAGCGGCAGCGGTGTGCCCGGACCGTGCCCCCGAGCGCGGCCCTGGCAGCCCTCTTGTCAGCGGTGGCCGTGGCGTCCTGTCTGTACCTGGGGGTGAAAACCAACGACCTCCAGGCGAGGATCGCCGCTCTTGAATCCGCCAAAGGGGACCCTTCCATCCGCCCGCTTCCCGATTGCCTGGATCAGCTCAAAGCAGTGGTGCAGGAGAAAGTGGAGCGACTTCTGGCTCAGGTGTGAAAAGCTGGGGTATTTTTGCACGTGCAACACATCTTGCACAGGCGTGATTCCGTGTATACGCCCTGCCTACCCTGACTGCCCGCATACGTGGTGTGGCTGTGTGCACATATGCTAGGCGTCCATCCGTAGTGGCATATGTTTGTACTGTATCATATGCACATCCTTCGACACCACCCTCTCCATGTGTCTCATCTTCCCTCACTCTTCTGAATATTTGCATGTTAAATCTATATGGGGCTCTAAAAGCGGGAAGGGTGAGCAGAATGGCAGGGTGGCATTTTAGCTTCTTGTAGTTCTCCAAAGTCTCCTAGGAATCTTTTCCAAATTTGTGGAGACTATTCCTTGCAGAATAACATCTGTTATGTTCTTCAGGAGGGTTAGGACCATAGGTGCTATTCATATACAAATGGTAATCACTATTGAAAGTAAAATAACCTTGAATGTGACTTAGAACCAGTTATTTCCTACATTGAATGGTCTCACATTGAATGTTTAAAAAGAAAACAATAGTAGCTTAATCTTTTTTTTGGGTAAAAGATGCAGTGCCGAGGGGTGTTTATGAATGCAGAGCCATTGGACTTGAGACTTTAAAGTAATCTACAATACACACCCAAATCAGGGCAGCATTAGACTGGAGTTAGGAGGTTTGCTGGAACTTGTTCTTCCAACAGCGAGGCTGTTTGGCAGTAGTTGCAGCGCTACATGCTAAGCAGTTGACCTTCATGCATAAAGTATTGGCTGTTTTAAAACACGTAACTTACCTAGAACTGCAACATGTTAATGCCAGGTTTTTGCATTGGCTGCATATGTATGAGCTGAGGGAGTGGGTGGTGGTAGTTGAACAATGGAGAAAGATGTTATAAAGTCCAGCAGTCTTTTTTTTTAAAAAAAAATTATTTATTTATTATTTTTTTCAGCAGTCTTGATCTCATGTCAATAATAATTTTCTTTCTTATAGGGTTTGGGTAGAACTGTTCCCTTTTGACTGAAGTCCAAGTACATATGTAAACTTTAGTTATACAGGCTATCAGATGCTGGTGAATCAAGCATATGGACAGAAACTCCCTAAAGAACCCATTTCTCTACAGTGCTACTGATGACTCTTCATCCCTCTTCTTTCCACCCCCTACAGAAATCCTATGAACACATGGCCAAAATAAGAATCGCAAGAGAAGCACCTTCAGAATGCAACTGCCCAGCAGGTAAAATGGAACTTATTTAACAAGGTTGGCTCCATGGCAGAGCATTTTAAAACAAGTCCTGTGTCTGTCAAGTCTACCTGTAATAATAGTAAAGAAAGAATGCAGACCCAACTCACGTTAATAAGATCAACATGTCTCAGTCAAAAGAATGGCAAACAAAGCCCCAAATATTATTTTAAGCAGCATACCAAGGTCTGTTACGGGAGAACAAAAGAGAGAGAGATAATCACCATGGAAAATATGGCAGATGATGCTCAAATGTGAAATTCTTAGATCCACAGATTGAAAAATATTGTTCAGTTTTATTCACTTTTAATACCTACTGTGAAAATGACTGCAGAACATGCTAGATTCTGAATTCCCTGGTGGCAAATGTTGGATTAGCACAGGTTTCCATTTGCTCCTTTTAACACGAGTATGTTAGTAAATGACCATAACTTCCTCTCCTGCTTTTATTTTATTTTTTTCTATCAAAAAGGGTTCTGCATTTTTTAGCAAAAGGAAATTTGTTCTTTATCTCGAGCTTCCCATCGCAAACTATTGCATTCTCAATGAAATATCAGAAAAGGCTAATATATATATATATATATATATATATATATATATATATATATATATTTTTTTTTTTTTTTTACCATTTTTTTTCTCTGCAGCTTTAGAGGATTATATTACTGACAGTATATTAGTAGAAAGATAGAAAAAAATATTGATGAATGAAACCTCTAGGTAATCATTAAATCTTCCTCAGTAGACCTCTGAGGCTAGGGAGTCAGTTTTCTGTAGACCTAACAATTTAGAAGCCCTTGGAATATGTCTATTGGAAAACACCTAGTGGATTCAACTGATGAAAGTCATGGAAAACTTCCATCAGTCGAGATATTTATTTCAGAAAAATGTTAATGCATTTGTGGACATTTACTTTCTTTTACCACCACTTATGGAAAAGTGAGTCTCTTACATTTTCTGTGATGTCCAGGTATATGATGCTGAGATACTTAGATATAGAAAGCTTACTTCCTATATTTTTTCATATTCTGAGTTTACTTTCCCTCATGATAACTTGTTTTTCCTCACCATAACACAGCTAATTCAGGAACCATATTTAGAAATTTTAAAGGTCGAACTCCCAGTTGTAAAGCATACAAGTTTTATTATTTATGTTCTGCTACTTTGTTGACCATCATGGAGCTGTAGTTTTGGTAAATGAAGCCCTTTCAATTGAGAAGACATATACCTTAGGTAACAGGGAAACGTTAATGCTTGTTTTGACATTGTAAGTTTCATTCTTGCTTGTTTTAAATTGGAAAAGACCTCAGAAGTCAGAAATTCAAGGAAAGCACTTTAGTAGAGCAGGAATTAACTCACAAAACCTCATCAGCTTGGAGGGATTATTTAAATGCTCAAAACAGCTGGTATAGGACTTCACTGGTCATACCCTTAGAGCCCAACATTTTTTTTTTTTTCCTATTCAGTATTCTTGTTAGCTGAGTGACCAACAGCTAGTGTTTAATTAATAGAATTCTTAGTGAACTGGGCGAAAAGTAGAGCAGTGACAACTACAGCACTGAGTTCCATTGTGAATTTAACTGCTTTATGATGTTTGGTATAAACTAGCTGTTGAGGTCTAGTATGTGATCTAGAAGAAATACATTATATTTCAAGTTTACCTTGCATTATCTCGGATTATTATTTTGAACCATTTTTATTCTTAACATATTAATTGAATAACAAACTGATTTTGCCATAATAACAAATAAATAGTAAACGGTGATTTCCTGGGCTGTTATGTTGGCCCTCAGTATTGGCTGCTTTACTTTCTTGCCACCACTAGAGCTCCACATTACATCAGTTTTCACCAGGTTGTTTGAGAGGTAAATACTTGAAGGTGGACATTTCAATACACAGAATCAAAACAGACTTCTTGCCAACAAATCATTATTATAGAAACTCTTTAAGCTTGTGGAATAATTAGATATCATCAAAATAGAGACATTATGTTGAAAGTAGTATTCTGGGGGTAATACTTGTGATTTTAAGGTACGGTCAGTGATTATTGTTTTAGGGAATGAATGGGCTGGCCAAGAGGAAAAGAAAGGAGAGACAGCACTTCCCACCTGGTTTGGCTCTCACCCTGGTTTGCAGTGACTAAGAGTTGTCACCCAGACATCTGTTTGTAGGGCAGAGTGAGACTTGTCTGTGACCTCAGCTCGCTCAGTTCCTGTGGACAGATGCCCACCCCTTGAAGTTGACACTCTTGTTGACAGTCTCCGTCCTAGAGCCAAGGACTGATAGCAAAGGCTTAATGCTGTGTGTTTGTGTCCACTTTAATTGCTTTTGATAGGACTCAGTCCCAGTGAGGTTTGTCCAGGTAGGCTACAAGGAAATCATAGAATTTATAGATATTTTTACAATAGATATTTTTAAGCACAGGAAGGAGCATGTATGGGAGAGGGATGAGATAAAATATTATCGAGTAATTTCTAATTACAGGGGAATCACTCTCATTTAATCTTCACAACGACCCTGAGAGTTACATATTGGTGATTTCATTTTACAGATTAGGAAACTGGACTCAGAAGGTGACTAACTTAGCATAGTAAAGGCAATGTCAGGATTCATGACCACATCTGATAGAATCAAAAGCTCAAAGTCGAGTGAGGGATAGAGAATGAGTATAGGCTTTAGAGCCAAATAGTTCTGGATTAAAATCATAGGTCTTGTCTGCTATTAAATAACGTGTGACTTTGGCCAAACTAATGAACTTTATATTCCAGTGTCCTCATCTGCAAAAAAGTACCTAATAATAATACCTTCTTCCTTGTAGAATAATAATTTAAACAGTCTGACATATTGGAGTTTGGCTGTGAATACATAATAGCAATCACTATTCTTTTTACTGTATTACATGCTATTTAACTTTCATCTGGTCCATAGGGACACATGATAGAGGTGGGAAAACCAAGGTCTGCAGATATGTAACTTGCTGAAAGGTTTTGGACTAGAACATTATGCTTAATTAAACAAATACACCTATAGGTTATTTATGCAGGTAATCAGTCAAACAACTTAGTGTCTTAGTGCTACAACAAGATATTTATATTAGTCTACTAAACTATTTTTCCCCTCAAAATTACAGGAAAACTTTTGACCTTGTAGGCAAACCAGTATTGAAATAGATAAAACCTGGCCTTAAAAAGTATGGGAATATTTTAAAAAATGTCTTTTATAGATTTGATACTAGATGTTTACAAAAACATGTTAAACTTTCTTGCTCATTTCCACACTTCAATTCTTTAAAAATATTAAAATATTTTCCAGTTACGGTATTATTAAAGTATAATTTATAATAATTACCCATTTTACATGAATAATTTAAATATTTAAAAAATAATTTTATGAAACTCTGGGGAGGGAGGGGATGTGTGGGAGGGAGGGGGGGCAAAAAAAATAATTTTATGGAGTTATGTAATCATTACCACAATCCAATTTTAGATCACCTTTGTCACTTCTGAAAATTCCAATTTATTTTTCTTTTATATATATATATATTTAATTTTTATTGTTGAGATTGTTACAGATGTTCCTCCCCCCTGTATCCCCCATATCTCTCCTCCACTCAGTTCCCACCCTACCCCAGGCCCTCGCCACCCTATTATCTGTGTCCATAGGCAATGCATACATGCATGTAAGACCCCATTTACTTTTTACATGTACTCAGAAGCTCTATTTTTAAAATATTTGCATTAAAGAAGCCCCAGAATAAAATTTAAGAAACCATCTACATTGGAGCTCTGTTTAGCAGAATATTTGATCCAGCAGTAGCTGAACCATGGAAATTTAGCTGCTATCTGTGGCTTGGCCTTTGTAAAACTTGACCCTCATATTTGAGAATAAATTGGTTTTTTGCTCTGGCTGTAGAGTTCCATTTTGGGTTTCTGTTCTTGCAGTCCTACATGAGGTATGTAGAAACCAGGCATATGTATGGGAGGGTTTCTGTGATAAGGAACACAGGCAGCCAACCAAATGATGTTTAGATCACCAAGGTTTCTGTGTCTTACTCACCAGTAGTGTTGCCTGCCCAGGGTATTAGGGAGAAGAGCCTCTGTGGTGTAATGCACTGAGAATGTGAATGGGCAATCAAGAATACAGAATTCTAATCCTGGCTTTGTCGTTAACATGTTATGCAATCTGGGGCAAGTATTTTTAAGAATGGCTTTTACAGACTCAGTTTTTATATCCTCTCAATCAGAGTGTTGGACTGGAATGGTTTTGAAAGGCATTTGTCAATTCTCCAAGCATAAAGAGCCTCCTGTGTGCCAAACATCATGCCAAGACTTGGAATATGCTGCTGAATGGGCAGACTTGGAATCTGCCCTCAGGGAGCTTACATTTCAATGAGGATGACAGACATTTATTTAAAATTGACATGAATTTGCAGGTGCAACAGGTGCAACCAAGAAAAAGAACAGTGTGCTTTGGAGCATGTGACCAAAATTTCTCCCATGTTGTAAATACTAAGGATTAAAAAAAAAATTTTTTTTCTCTTGGGAAAAACCGAGAAATTCACACAGTAGGAGAAAATCATAACATGAGAAATCTGGCTTCTGATTAGAGATAAAGCTGCAGCAATGAATAAAAAGATGATTGGCACACCCTTCCCTGACTTTTGGCCTTCCTAGAATTTATGGTCAGATGAAAGTGCGCACACTTGGATTATCTACACTATACCCAACTAAGCAAAAAAAATGACTTTAGCCTACATTTCTTCTGAAACCAGTGAGATTTGGGTTGAATAAGAGTCAAAACTTCCTGCTCAGTGGGTACTGCACAGGACCTGGCCCTTTGACATTCACTAAAATTGATGAAACATAACACAGCTGGCCATTTGCTCAGAGAGTTGAGCTAGAGATAGAAAAGATATATCACATAGCTTCTGAGGTTCCTATCCACCCTCCAAGCCTATGAAAATGATTATATACAAAATAAAAATAGATGTAGGC